ATCCCAGGCCGCATATTTGACAATTTAATGCCTTTCTGATTACATGCTCACAAACTACCTGTAGTTATCAACTGGCCCACCAGRTCAATTTTACTGAAAAAGGCACATGGACTAGCAAAGAAAAGCATGTTACACCTTTTGGCAGTTATAATAATCACTGGTAATAAATTGAATTTCTGATTTACAAAATAGTCTCTTGTAATTCTGGTTAATATAACCTGGTTTCCTAACAGTACTTTACAAAATAGGTTTTGGGCCTTCAGAACTGAAAATCAATTCTTGGTCCTTGGTGAATAATACTGTAGGGTAACATTAACCAAAAGTCAGGCACTATAGAAACACCTATATTTTACTGCTTTTTACCATTAGCAAATAGTACATTGATAAAAATAGTTACCTGAAGGTGAGTTTTGTTTTAAAGACGGCTTGCCCCTGCAGACCAGTACCTTGTCTTATAAAAAGATGATTGTGGTCACCCTGCAGTGGGGCTTTGTACACATCAAACACTTCATTGCCTAAATGCAGGGACATGCTGAAGAGAAGAAACACTTCACATGTTAAAGTCACAAAGCTTTAATGATACACTTCACTAAAAATGTGGATTCAGTTGCTGCTTTCTCTCTTTACATAATTCACAAAGAATAAAGAGAATAAAAAGTTATATATGATTTTAAAAAAATGGCTGACTACACAGGTGTTTGCCCAGCCTCTACCATGTTCCCAGCAAAAGATAATTGGGCTGAGGGAGCAGTCTAACTTTTCCAAATAAGATGATTACATTTTGGCATACTCTTGATGTTTTCCACTAGTCTAAATGACCTCCACTACCTATTTATTTCTCGAAGGTTTTCTATGTAATCACAGGAAATAACTAATGGAAACTCAAGGTAGCCCTGAGTCGGGCATGGTGGTGCATGCCTAAAGACCCAGCTATTCTAAAGGCTGGGGTAGGAGGATGGCTTGAGTAGTCTAGAGGCTTGAGGCCAGCCTAGGCAACACAGTGAGACCCCTATCTCTTTAAAAAAGAGAGAGAGCCCCCAATAAGATCCTACTCCATAACTTGCTCCTTCTTAGCCCATTCTGGGGATTTCAATAATCTTCAGGCATGTTGTACTCACCTCCCATCTGACCACTTGACTATCCGAGCATTGCTTTCTTTAATTTCATTTCCTTCTTCATCTCGGCGTATCCTCCATCTTATGGTATTTTCTACCTGTTGTAAAATACATATGCCTTAGAAAACTATAGTTCAACTGCCTTCAAGCCTTTTTTCTCAAAAGACTCATGATCTTAAAAGAAGCACACATAGGTAGTGACAGAGAAAGAGACAATGTTGAGACCATCTTACTTTAATCACCTAAAGTGATATGTTAAAAAAAAAAAAAACAGGAAAAAAAATAAGCTTATCTGAATTTCTAAGTTCCCCTCCCCATATCAGAAACAGAGGATCTGAGCAGATACAAATCTCCAGCAGCCCTGGAATAATTTAAGAGCAACAGTTGAGAGCTGTGAGGGCAGGAGATAAAACTTGAGCCATCACGTCAAATTTAGAGCTAAGATCCTTATAAGTAAGTTGTCTCACGGAACTAAGAACTCTAGAAGTGAGACCAAAAAACTTGGCCAACTTGCCCAACAAATGGGGAAGCTCTGGCGGCTGGGGTGTGGCTCAGCAGTAGAGTGCTTGCCTCCCATCTGGGAGGCACTGGATTCGATTCTCAGCACCACATTAAAAAAGTAAATAAACTAAATAAAGATACTGTGTCTATGTATAACTAAAAAATATTTTAAAAAATTTGTGGGGAAGCTCCCAGCATTGCTAAGGCCGGCATTACATGTATGTACCACTATATCTGCTATTAATTAACTCTTTTAAGACTGGTAAAATCTAAGAAAATCTAAGACTGGTAAAATCTAAGAAAATCAAAACCCCAGATTTGAATAGGTTGAGAGACAAATTTTGTATTACCGCATAGTGTTTCCCACCAGATAGATTTAGAAAATGAGAACCACTACTAATGAAATTAAAATTCAGTGAGGCTGGGCACAGTGGCATATGCCTATAATCCCCATGACTAGGGAGGTAGAAGGAGGATGGGAAGTTCAGCCTCAGCAACTTAGAGAGATCCTGTCTCAAAATAAAAAGTAAAAAAAAAAAAAAAAAAAAAAGGCTGGGGACATGGTTCAGTGGGAAAGCCCCCTGTGGATTCAATCCCCAGACAAAAAACAACTCAGTGAGTCTTCCAGGAAAATACAGCACATTTAATTCATGAAATTTATTACTGATATATCCTAGAAACCCACTAAAATACCAGTAAAGAACAAAAAAAAGGGGGAGGGTTAAAAAGAATAAGAATGAACAAAAAGAAGCCAACATTTTGAAAACTGACCATACTTCCCTATTCCTCCACCATCAACCATAAAAACAGCTGTTCTCATTCCCAGTTAGATATTTTGGATCTCCACTATGTTAAATATCAATGTCTTTGCATATGTGTCTTAATGGTTTGCTTCGAGTTTTTCCCCTCCTTATTCATTCCTCACTAAATAAGAAAATATAAAGTCAGCTATTAAAGGTCTCAATAACACTCTTGAATTAGATATCATATCTGAGATTTGTGTCAAAATAGTCTGGGGGATGCCAGGCACAGTGGCACACTCCTATAATCCCAGTGGCTCAGGAGTCTGAGGCAGGAGGATCACGCTTTCAAAGCCAGCCTCAACAATTTAGCAAGGCCTTAAGCAATTCAGCAATACCCTGTCTCAAAATAAAATATAAAATAAGGGCATAGCTCCAGTTTAAGTGCTCCTGGGTTCAATCCCTAGTACCAATTTTAAAAAAAATGTCYGAGGAAGGTAAGTATCAAGACAGATGAAACAAGATTATTCAATTTGACAATTGTTAAAGTGAGTTGAGTGATGGGCACATGAGAACTCATTATACTTTTTGCCTTATATATGTTTGAAATTTTCCTTAATAAGGAATTAAAACAATTTGTCACTATTTACTTGTTTTCCCTCTCATAAAAAATAGGTTGTCCACCTATAAGTATATATACTGGCATTATTAACTGAGAAGCTATTTTGAAAAATGCTTGCTTTCTTTTTCCTTTTTATATAGCTGGGGATTGAACCCAGGGATTCATACATGCTAAACAAGTGCCCTACTTATGAGCTATATACATTTTCAGTCTTTCTACTCAATAAAGTGATTCAAATAATAATAATTAAAACACACTGCTAAGTCTTGTCCTATTGGAATAAAAGACACATGAAAGTATTTCTAAAGATGACCTCAAAGAGGTACATAATCTGTACCTGATTGCTTGTTGATTAAAGAATTAACTACTTAATTAACTAACTCTTTTTGACCTAGGAGACTGGAAGGGTGGCAGGGGCAAGGATGGTATTAGGGGTTCAACCCAGTGGTGCTTTTCCACTGAGCTACAAAAATTCCCAGACCTTTTCATTTTTCAAGAGGGGGTCTTGTTAAATTGCTAAGGCTGACATGTGTATGTGCCATTATATCAGCTACCAATTAACTCAAGACTGGTAAATCTAGTGTTAAACATTAATTAAGAAATGAAAGGGGCTGTTGTGGCTCAGCAGTAGAGTACTCGCCTTACACATGCGAGACCTCAGTACCACATACAAAAATAAACAAGTGAAATAAAGATGTTGTGTCCAACTACAACTAAAAAATAAATAAAGAAAGAAAGAAATGAAGGGTAGTGAGGCACATGCCTATAATCCCAGCTGAGGCAGGAAGCTCTCAAGCGCAAGGCCAGCATGGAAAACTTCTTGAGATAAAAAGGGCTGGCTCAGTGGTAGTGCCCACCGCCCCCCAACCCCACCCCAGTTCAATCCTCAGTACAAGGCAGGCAGGCAGGCAGGCAGGAAGGAAGGAAGGAAGGAAGGAAGGAAGGAAGGAAGGAAGGAAGGAACAAAAGGTCCATGGTTCTTTTTGTTTTAATCACACCCCCAGGTTCTAAAAGACAGTAGTCTACATTAAATACTGATATATTGTACTCTGAAGCACTGAGGCTTTAGAGTAAGGTATTTATTTCCAAATTCTGATGCCCACAATGGAATATATAATAGATACATTGATACTTGCTATTACATTATGACAGACACAAAAAAGAAAAAATGCAAAAATAAATGAATAGATAAAAAGTAAATAAATTTATAAAAAGGATAGAAACAATGAAAAACAGTAGAATAAGGCCAGAGGCATTAAAAGAGCCATGGGAAATTAATATTGCTAATCACAACTGAATACATACATATCCTCCAAAGAAATATTAACAGATGGGCCAATGGTTGAAGGGTGGTGGAGGGAGGACAGCACACACACAAAAAAACCCACGATCTAAGGAGTAGCTCTATTAATTGTGTGATCTTAAGCAAATCACTGGCATTAGTTTAATCTCCATTTTCTTATTTGATTTGCATTTCCATTAAGAAGAGAAGCAGTGTCCGTTGTAGTGGTGCATGCCTGTAAACCCAGCAGCTCAGGAGGCTGAGAAGAAGAATCACAAGTTCAAAGGCAGCCTCAGCAAGTTAGCAAGGACTTAAGCAACTTAGAGACCTTGTATCTAAATAAAATAAAGAAAGGGATGGGGATATGGTTCAGTAGTTGAGTACCCCTGGGTTCAATCCCCAGTACCAAAAAATAGAGAGAGAGAGAGAGAGAGAGAGAAAGAGAGAGAGAGAGAGAGAGAGAGAAGCAGTGAAGCCTCATTGAAAAGCGTGGGAAACCCTATACCCCTTGCTCAAAATTATTTAGGTACTTGATCTACCACACTTGGACAGATGGTATTAGTAGAAATGTAAAAACTCAATTTCCTGAACTCTAAAAATGCCAAACTGCCCCTTCTTAACAGTGAAATACCATGTACAATATCCACTGGCAAATAAAAAACTTATGAGAAATCCTTCAGATTTAAGAATTTAAAATGTGGCCTTAGCAGGTCTAATTTGAGCAAAGTGTCCTTGCCGGGATGGTGCCTCGATGCCAGGTTGAAATATTATATTTTGCAAAAAGAGCTGAAGTAACAGGAGTTCGTTCAGAGACCATTTCTGTGCAACAAGAAATAAAAGCATTGCAACTGTGGAATGAAATAGAAACTCGGCATCCTGGATTGGCTGATGTTAGAAATCAAGTGATATTTGCAGTTCATCAAGAATATGTACAGCTGGGAGACCAGCTCCTCCTCCTTCACCCAGGAGACGAAATTGCCATTATCCCCCCCATTAGTGGAGGGTAGTGCTTTTGAACTATCTAGAAAAGATATGGACAAAGTTGAAGAGACATCTAAAGACATAATAAAATTTACTGCTGAGAAACTTTCTGTGGATGATGTCTCCCAGTTAGTGACAATATCCCTGTTTGTAGGGACTACAAGAAATAACTTTGAAGGAAAAAAAGTCATTAGCTTAGAATATGAAGCATATCTACCAATGGCAGAAAATGAAATCAGAAAAATTTGTAGTGACATTAGGCAGAAATGGCCAGTGAAGCACATAGCAGTGTTCCATAGACTTGGTTTGGTTCCAGTGTCTGAAGCAAGCATAATTATTGCTGTGTCCTCAGCCCACAGGGCTGCATCCTTGAAGCTGTCACCTATGCCATTGATACTTTAAAAGCCAGGGTGCCCATATGGAAAAAGGAACTATATGAAGAATTATCATCATCTTGGAAAAGAAACAAAGAATGCTTTTGGGCAACCAATAGTTAACCACTTATGTTTTTTTCGACCACTGAATCCTAAATTTAGTAAACTTCTATTGTTGATCACATTTTGATCTTTCTTCTCCACAATTTACTGAAGCTTACTGAAGCACAGGTTATACCTGTGGGACAAATGGCAAAAAAGAAAGCAAAATACGTGGGTATGTAGGATGAGGGATTACTTGGGGCTAGCAATAGGGAAGAACTGTGATAATTGAGAGATGTCTATGGAGATATATCATATCCCTCATGACTAATTTTCAATTGAAACTCAAATCTCATTGAAGTATGGCCCCCTCCTCACTAATTCCATACCACTGCATTGATGGTGTTAATATCAGGGTGTATATTGGAAATATTGGTTGAACTGGAAAGTCATTGTCAGTTTTGATATTGTATGTTATATATTTTCAGAACATACATATTTAAAAAAAAAMCYWAAWWAAMCC